GCAGCCGACTTCTCCTTGAGAAAATAAACCCAAGTCTTCCTACTAAAATCATCAATGAAAGTAATAAAATACCTATTACCTCCATAAGACATGGGATCCAATGGACCACATATATCTGTGTGCATCAACTGCAGTGGTGCCCTTGCTCTCCATGTATCACCAACAGGGAATGATAGTCGTGCTTGCTTGCCAAGCACACAACCTTCACATAATTGGCGTGTGGCTTCAATCTGGGGTAGACCACGAACCATTCATTCATTTGACAGCAACTTTAGGCCATTGAAATGAAGATGGCCATACCGAAGATGCCATTTCCATGACCTATCTTCCATTACATCGATGTTGCAACTCTCAATCTTTGTGTTCAACTTCAACGGGAACATTCGGTTTTTGACATTTGAACACGTGCAATAAGCTTTCTTCTTGCATTCCTGAGAGTGAGAAACATATCCTCCATATGTATAACATACCCTTTCTGGAGCAGTTGACCAATGCTCAAAATGTTGCTCTTCATACCTGGTATGTAGTAGGTATCGGAGATGTATTCTTCTTTACCATCCTTCTGGATGATTTTGATCTTTCCTTTGCCTTCAACTGGCAACTTTGAGGAGTCACCAAGACTCACAGATCCATAAGGCCCATCTTTGAGTTCGGCAAAAAACTCTTTCTTTCCACACATGTGGTTGCTTACACTAGAGTCTAAATACCATATATCTTGTTGGCTACTGATATCATGGTGTGCTAGTAAGACTGTAAATTCTTCACCAGCATTTCCACTTGATTCAGCCATGTTGACATGTTCACCATTTTTATATGAACATTCATTTGCATAATGTCCATACTGTTTGCAACTGTGACACTGGATATGCGCCTTTCCTCGAGTAGATCTCCACTCCTGAGACTGACCTAGATTTTGTGCATAGCCTCGACCTCTTCCTCGGGCTTGTCCTCGGCTACGGTTGGATGAACTCCCACGACGTGAGTTCCACTGCCCACAACCTTTATTTGGTTTGTCAATATTCAACTTTGACTCCAAAGCTTGCTCTAGCGTTGTGGGGCTTGCATTCTTCTGAATGCGTTGCTCGTGAACTATGAGGGATCCTAGTAGCTCCTCTGCGCTCATCGCCTACAAATCCTTGGATTCCTCAATGGCAGTCACCACATGCTCAAACTTAGATGTGAGTGACCGGAGTATCTTCTCCACAACTCGTACTTCATCGAGTCTCTCGCCATTTCTCCTCATCTGATTTACTATCACAATGAGCCTTGAGTGATAGTCGGAGATGCTCTCTCCTTCATTCATGTGAGCAGTTTCAAAATCTGCTTGAAGTGACTGTAATCTCACTTTCTTGACCCGATCTACTCCTTTGTAGATTGTACTGAGTGTGTCCCATACTTGCTTGCTCGTTGTTGCTTCTGCAACCTTCTCGAACGTTGAATCTTCTAATCCTTGATAAAGAAGATACAACACCTTCTGGTCCTTCTTTCGTAAATCCTTGAGAGTGTTCCTTTGATTTGCAGTATATGTGGCTTCTTGCTCGGTAGTGGGTACAACATACCCATTACTGACAACTTCCCATAGCTCTTGTGATCCAAACAATGCTTTGAATTGGATGCACCATCTTTCATAATTTTCTTTCTTTAATGTGGGAACTTGGAGCTGCACTAAGTTGGATGCCATAACTGCTGCACCTGCCAGAATGGTATTCTGGCTCTGATACCAATTGTTGGTATTGAAAAGTTTACAAACTCTATCACACCTCTCACTTTCACTCTCAATAAAATTGGACAAAAAATTGAGAAATAAGGGAAGCTACAAGCTTTGGCAAACAAGGCACTTTGATATTAAAAACAGATTGCAAATACACTTCTAGAATTGAATGACAAATCAGATGGGATTAATTCACTAAAGCCTTACGAGAGGCTTCCTTAAATACAACACAACCTACACCTTTACACCATCAATTGACAGCACACAGACAGCAGCATATCTGCTGTCTTTAACACATGGGAACGTGAAAATGAAGAGACCAAATGTATTCCAGGTTGTCTACATTCGGCTAGCACACAGCAGCTGTCTTTCCAGCTGCAAATAACACAGATTCGACTAGCACATGGCAGCACACTGCTGTCTTCCTGCTAGCACATCACATGGCAGCACACTTGCTGTCTTTCATCACCATTCGGCTGAATAATGAAGGAGCAATGATGATTATATTTTGCTGGAAACAATCTGTAAAGAAAGGTTAGCATCACATGGACAGATCACATGACTTTTAATTTGAATTTCCAACAGGGAGGTTCGTAGAGAGAAATGTCGCTTACCAGCCTTGCACTTAGACTACAGGAAATCACGAAATTGACTTTGTCCTGAGCTTGTATGTCTCTTTTTTTTTTTTTTTTTTTTTGCAGTACTTCGATCTTGTTCTGCAACAAGTTGTACAAATGATTAAGCGTATGATATAATTGCAATGTTGTTTCAGGGAGAAAGTTAACCCTTCAAACCATACACAACCCGTTATTTTCTTCTGTACGAAGCTTTGTGCAGTATATCTCCGCTATGGTACTCCATCGAGAGAGCTTCGGCATATATGGTATTCTTATCCTCTCACTCAGGATATGGTAAGAATGCTTACATCTCACTTCTATAGCCACAATCATCTTGTGCGAGCAATTTTGCTGTACTGTGTCAGTCGTGGTTCGTTATGCTTTGTGCTCTCGTGCAAATTGTGCTTTGTTTGCAGGGAAATATACTCCTCGATACAAGTGGCTCGAGAAGGAGCTTCCGAAAGTGAACAAGACAGTGACGCCATGGCTTATTGTTCTTATGCATTCTCATTCTCCACTGTATAACAGTTACGTGCATCACTATATGGAAGGAGAATCCTTTAGAGTTATGTACCAGGAATAGTTTGTGGAATATAAAGTAGATGTTGTCTTCCCTGTCCATGTTCATGCCTACGAACGATATGTAAGTGTACCTTATACATGCCTGCGAACAATCTGTTTAAACTATATAGGTTTCAGAAATGAATGTTTCCATCACAGGAACGGTTATCAAATGTTGCCTACAACATTTCGAAGACTCTGCACTCCGATAAGTGACCAGTCAGCCCCGGTTTACATAACTATTGGAGGAAACCTAGAAGGATTGGTTACCGAGTACAATGCTAATTCCCATTGGTATTAACTGTGAGCAGTCTTTCCTGTTGATCAAAAATTTTGAAATTCGGTGGTATTTTGTGTTTTTCTGCAGAATGTCAGAACCACAGCTAAGTTACTCAGCTTTCCGGGAAGTCAGCTTCGGTCATAGGATTTTCAATATAAAGAACAGAACTCATGGTTTTTTCAGTTGGCATCGGAATCAAGATGGGTATGCGGTTGAAGCTGATTCTTTGTGGTTGAAGGACAGATATTGGAACAGATTGGAAGAGTCATCATCCTTAGCTGTATTTTCACTGCCCTCACGACCATGTAGACTTTCTGCACAGGTTTTCACTCATCTGCCATATCATTGTAAATTCAAATGTTCAAGAGACGGAAGGATGAGAAAGGTTTCATGTAATCATTGTATAGCACTCTATTCTTCATCCTGAATAAAACAAATCTGTTCTTCATCCTCATTTAACTCCAAAGATAACCATTTTCACTTACCAATTTCCTTTCTTCCTTTTTTTGAAGAGAAAGGGCCGGTTTCATCACAAGAGGTAGGGAAATGAATTCAACAAACAATTTTTCTTCAGTTTGTGTTTCTATATTAACTAGGCAGGCTTTCTAAGTTAAGGTGCGATGATAGTCTTATTTCTTTTTCTTTTTTTATGATACTCAAGCAAGCCTTCTGAGTCATGAGTTAAATTAGGTGGGACGGTGAATTATTTCATCTATATTGTCTTCCTATATTAACCAGGTGAGCCTTCTGAGTTTTGAGTTAAACCATGCGCGACGGTTGAATTATTTCACCTATTTCATCTTTCTATATTAACTATGCGAGCTTTCTAACTTCTAAATTAGACTATGCACGACGATTAAATTATTTTATTTATTTCATGTTTCTATATTGTGTGAATGCTTTCCATTCAATCTTACGAGTTATATATATTCTAACTACACATCAGATGGAACTACTAGCATAGCCTACCCTTTACGCACTTTCTTTAAAGTATGGTAAAGAATGAAATTACGACTCAACAACTCCGATTGCAATATATAAGTGCACTTGCAGAATTGGCAATAATTCCCAGCATTGATAAATATACAAGATGCTTGTGGTTCATGTGGAATAAAAGGGACAAACATGGCTTGAAAACAGAGATAGAGATGAATTAATGTCTCAACTGTTGTACGGATAAGCCCAAACCTTAAACCTCCCCAAGAGGTAGGAACAGGAATCCTCCAAATCCTAATGATGAGGCTAGAAAACTTCCCATAAAAAGGTGGAATTTAGGAATCTAACAAAAAGATATAGACGAAATAATCATACGATCGTGCCAAAGATATTTCAAAGAACATGTATGGTGTCTTAAATCAGATTAAATTGGATAACTCACAAAAATCATCACACAATACAAAAAAGACGAAGTGAACTTTACAATCCAATTGTTGCGCCTGATTTAACTCAGAAATGAAAAATATGTCTAGTTAATATAGAAAGACAAAATAGACGAAATAATTCAACCATCACGTCTGGTGAAATAAGAAAGCTAACTTGGTTAATAAAGAAAATGAAATAGAAGAAATAATCCAACCGCCGCACCTAATTTAGTTCAGAAAACTCGTTCAATGCCTTAAATTAGATTAAATTGGATAACACACCACATTTATAAGAAATTCATTCACATAATATAGAAAGACAGAGTACAGCCACAATTATTTCATTCATATTATACATATACCCACATTATGATTTGCAACAAACCCTGCAAGCTGCGACTCTTTTACAATACCCTGCACATTACATTTTTTTAGTACACTCCCAAATTAAAACTAAAAATAAAGGGGGTTAAGAAAAGAAAACCTTATTGCTTATTGGTTTATAATATATACAGCACACTGGAATGACCACGACAAAGAGCAGAAAAGCTCATTCGCCGCCGCAGCCCTCTAGATATTTATACACCTCCATATATTTTGACTATATATATACACACACCCCCTACTAGTTCTGTACATATATTATTATTCGACATATGAAGCACTTCTGAAGACATTGTGCAACTTTATTTACCAAGCTACCACCTCTATCTATATACCTTCAATTTTGAGTTACATGCACCATTAATACGAATGCATTGTTTCCCAGCCAGTTCCATCCACGAAACCGCCACCGAAAACACCATAATCTTCCACCGCCGGAAGATCAAGCGACATGGCGGCCTCCGTCCATATCGAGTCATCAAACACCGGAAAGTTCCCGCTTGTGTTCCCCCAGAGTATCCCCTCCATTTCATTATTCCCACCACTACTCATATTCTCCCCCACTTCCGCGCCGCCCTGCTCCGGGAGGGCCACAGCCCAATTTCTATGGGGCTGATCCGCCTTCACAGTCAGAAAGTTATCGCCAATAAAAGGTACCGCAATATCGTTCACAAGAGCAACATAACCTGCAGGATTAGTCCCAGTACCTGATGGATTGTTCTGCGCAAGGGTTTGGTTCGGAATTTGAGGTGGCACGCCGGGATTGGCCGGCGAGGGAACGACTTGATTCTGCAGATGCTGATTCAAATGATGCTGATGACAATGAGGGACTCGCTGCTCTGGTAAATTGAGCTTTGCCCCGGAACCGTAGAGCTTTCGGGCCGCAGCGTCATAAGCCAGAGCAGCTTCATGGGAGGAGTCGAAAGTCCCGAGCCAGAGCCGGGCCCCACGGTTCGGCTCACGGATTTCCGCCACCCATTTTCCCCACGTCCTTTGCCTGACGCCTTTGTAAGTGCACATAGCATTCTCCGGCCCTCCCTTCCCCCTCATGCAACCCTTCCTCGAGCTCGCCTGCACCGGCCGCTTCGACAGCTTCCCTTCCTCAACCCCAACACTGGTACTACCACCACCATTCATCTCCGACTTCAACATTGTGAGATTTTTATGAGAAGATTTCCTGAACTTTTATTTGGGTGGCGAGTTTGAGAAATCAGTTGTGATATTTATATAAGGAGTAAGGCAGACATGACCAGAAACGTGGCTTGTGGAGGATTAGGGTTTAAATATTTGGCATGGTGAACAGGAGATATCGTGTCCATGGCTAGCCTCACTATTTAAATCCCTAATACACACTTGGCTTACACCTTTGTTTGCTTTCTTGCTCAGGTGGCAATAGGAGAGGAGCCTTATAATTCCAGTTGTGCTGTGCTTTTCATTTTTCATTTTCTTTCTTTTATTAAATCGGCCTTTTACAAGAAGATCACATCAGATTTTAACTCAGTGACAAATCGAATGTAATTGATGGATTGATGATAGTAAGAGGGAAAATTTTTAAACTGTACACAAAGACTGAATGAGTATTTCTGTTGGAGCAGAGTATATCTTACTGGAACAGAGTATATTTTACTGAAGCTGACTGACTGAAAGATTTGCTGACAGCTGAAACAAGTATCAGTTTTTCATTTTTTTTTTTTACTTTTTTTATTTAAATAAAAGGATAAACATGTTCACTTTATTGTTTTTATCCTACATCAAAATTATAACAAGATTGATTAATAAGTTTTAGTGCAAAATTACTTGTTGTGTACAGTAGAGACTCACAGTAGATATCTCATATATACTTAAGAAATTTGTTAAAATATTTTTAGATTTTAATTTTTCATAATAATATGTACATCTTTAGTTCATTAAAACCATTTGTAACCATATTTGACTCATATTAAAAGATGTTTGAAGAATCCATTGACACACATACATAGGTTAGATTTATATTTTTATTTTTACTTCTCTTTTATTTATAACAAGATAAGAACTCTATTTTTATCTCTTCTTTTTCTCTCTATTTTCTAGTTTTCAATATTTTGGAAAAATAAGTGTTTTGGGTTACCGGAGAAGGAGGGAGGGATGTTAACTCAGAGAAAAATGCAATGAATAATAGAAGGAAAAAATTTAAACGGTAAAGAAAAACTGATTAGGAGTATAGTATTTCTTGAAAGCATGGTTATGTTTTATTTAAGCTAATTGACCGTCAAAATAAGAGAGAAACTTAATAATTGAGATACCTGAGAAACTTGTTGATGACAAGATAAACATGTTCACTTTATTTTTTTTTATTCTCTTACTACATAGGTATTTGAATGGTGGTAGTTTTTTTAAACATTACAATGAACATCCACGTCGGATATTAAAATTATAAAATTATGACCCAAGAATAATGGAAAGGAACAAATGGTTTAGATACAACAAGACTGATTAAGAAGTAAATTTTACATCAGAACCATTTGTTGGGATAGCAGAGACTCACAATGGATATCTAATAGATATTTAAGAAATTGTTAAAACTTGTTTAGATATTCATCTTTCATTTTAATATACTTGAAGAATGTGTACAACATTACACATTCTTCAAGTATCTTCCATTTGTTACACACACACATCAAGTCAGGAAAACCATTTGTAAAGTCATGAAAACTAAATTTTCAAAACGAAATTTACAAATAAAATGACGTAGTGATTGATTATTAGATTATTACTTAAATATTGATTAACATTTTTATTTTTTATTAGTAACACATCATTTAATTTTCTATTAGTAACACATGATTTAATTTGTAAATTCAATTTAAAAATTCGGTCTTTTAGCATTACTGTTTGAAAAAGCTATCTCGACACGGTAAGATTTTCATTTTGTTTTTCTTCACTTTTCTTTTATTTATAACAAGATAAGATCCCAATTAATTCATCATATCTCTCTTTTTTTCTTTTCATTTTGGAAAAAGTAAAGTGTTTTGGGTTGGGGGGGAGGAATTTGGACGATTTAGTGACGGAGGCGGTGTGAACGGTTGGGGATAAACCCTACGTTAGTCCCCTAAATCAGGGCTTGACAGTTTGCAATTTAGCATGCAAAGCTTGCATACGTGGTGTGTTTCGCTAAATCCCGTGGGTCCCTTGGGTCCCGTTGATCTGCGAGTTTTCCGAAAAGGATAGGAAGGGATGTACAGGCCCCAGAGTGCGAGAATGACATCATCCTAATGGAGACAATGAATCCTACGGACTGATTCTCATTTCCTCCGTTCATGTACACGAGATATTTTTTAGTAGAATCGGTACACAGAATACATTACGTGTTATTGTATAAATAATATATTTTATATGTTAAAAATTAATAATTTAAAAAGTAAAAAATTTCACTACTTATATAAAAATACATGATTTATTATCTGTATATTCATGACAATAAAAAATTTCTCTATGTTCAGGCTGTTGTTGTTCTTGTCCTCCAGCAAATCAACACGTACACACATATTCACATGTAGATATCTTAGTTTTGAAACAAAATATACATAACCTAAATTTGCATCAGCTTTCTAAATACTGTCAAGATCTAACCACATTACAGAAAGAACAACTATTAAAATTAATATTTTTTTTATAGTACATTGATATTTTTATATTAAGAGAATAGAGAGTTCGGTTAAACCATATAGTGGATAGTTTAATTTGGTATCGAATTCGTCATCCATGATATTCAAACTTAAGACCTCTCACTTCTAAATAAAAAAAAATACCACCAAACCGTAATAGTGAATGACATCAAAATTAATATGTTACAACTAACATTACAGAAGAAATAATATTGTCAAACCTGTCAACTATATGATAAACAATTAAAAAAAATGGTACATCGTACAAATTTTATAGTTCTTTGTACAAACCGTGCATTGACATCAGCTTTTAACTATTCTTAGAAGTCACATGCCATGATTCATGTATAAATACATATACAATAATATTGTAAAGTTAAATCTTCAAACATTACATGTACAACACAAAAATACAATCCTATCAGCAAAGAAACTACCCTTAGAAGTCACATGCCATGATTCACGTATAAATACATAAACAATAATATTGTAAAGTTAAACCTTCAAACATCACATGTACAACACAAAAATACAATCATTATCTAATATTTCAATCATAATTCTTCATTTTATCGCACTGAAAAAAAAGACTAAACCCTGGCCTAACTCTTTTATCTAATCTAAATTTCACCCCACTCAATATATCCAAGAAACATTATTTTGTTTACGGATTGAAGTATCAACGGAAGAAAGATTGCTTTCATTCCTTCATGTTATAGTGTGTATTACATAAACTAACTTATAAATTTTTCTCCTTCTTGAAGGCTTGACCAAATAAAATATAAGTAACTGAACCCCAAACGATGGGGAGCACTTTAGGAGTGTGTTGAACTACGTACTAAAGCGTATATGGCTTTTGTCAGCATTATTATAGAGTTAAGAGTTCATCATTAATGTCATCCTAAACAACAAGGGATACGTCATAATTCTATGATAGTACTAACTGTACAACAAAAACTAAGATTTTAATCTTAAAATTTTAAAATCACTTTACTTATAGACAGATACAATTTTGTCAGTATTATAATAGAGTCAGGTTTACATTTTTATTGTCATCATAAAAAATAAAAATAAAGAAAAAGAATAACACAACAATTCTATGATAGTACGAACTGTACAACAAAAATTAAGATCACTTCACTTACTGACAGATACAGTTTTCAGTATTATGATAGAGTCATATTTACATTTTTATTGTTATCATAAAAAATAAAAATAAAGAAAAAGAATAACCTAGCAATCCTATGATAGTACGAACTGTAAGACAAAATTAATATTTTAATCATAAACTTTTAACTGTGATATGGATAGATACAATTTCGTATTATTAGAGTCAGATTTACATTTTTATTGTGGTCATAAAAAATAAAGAAAAAAGAACAACGTATCAATCTTAAGATAGTACAAAGTATATAACAATCTTAACTTTTAACTGTTACTTCACATATACAGACACTAACAGATCTTTATATTATTAATTACTGAACAGAAGACTCTTTTAGAATTATCCAACTTTAACACTCAAAAATCACATATCATAACACATATAAACACCAATCTTTTTAACATTTTAAAAATCCAATCTTATAACATAGAAGGAACTGAACCCTTATGTAGCTTTGTTCTTATCTCAGTCCAACCTTCTCTTAATCCGAATAACTCAATTCGTTCGCGGGTTTAAAGTAGATAGACAAAGGAGAAGGGGATTAAAAAAATATTGCATCATGCCTTCTTTGTAGTGTGTATTACATGATATAATCTATACATCGTATATATACAAGTTAATGCATAAAAAAAAGGTTCTAGCCAGTCTCACTCAATTGCAATGCTTCGTTTATGCCTCGGCACTTCCACAGACCTGCTCTTATCGCCTTCAACATTTCGTTTACTCTGATGCCTTTCCTGCAAAAACCAATGGCAACTTAACAAAACCTCTACTTAGGCTGCTGCTGTTGTTACTACACAGAACTATGCAGGGCCTGTTGTTACTACATAGAACTAAGCGTGTAGCTCCAACTATAACGAGCTTTAGAGATTTTCATACGACATAATCTGTCAAGCAAAAACTTATTGACGAAAACCAGTGGAGAAAAAGAGTAGAGAGAAACAGAAATGAAGTTTAGGTATAGAACTCAAGACATTAGAGAAAGCATAAAAGATGATAGAGATGAACTTACAATACACTGACACCAACAATGACAAGGGGTCGTGCATAGTCTTCAATATCTTTTTTCTTCCGGTCATTACTCGAAACTCTTGATGAACTCACATCTGCATTTCGACCTTCAGAGGACGGTCGTTGAACTGCATCAATAATGCTCGTTTCTAACCCAGAAGATGCGTTATCAGTACCAAGTCTCATTATTTCTTCAGTCAAAGATGGAAGCCTGTCCTTTGCCTAAAATGCAGATATATTCTAATATTAATCAAAATTGAAATTTAGGATATCAAAGTATCTCATAGAACAAGGTATTAGTGACAAGCAAAGAATAGTGATTAGAACCGGGAAGCATTTTCACGCCGGAAAACCAAACAAAAAGAGACGAACCTGGGGAAGGTCAATTTTGTTGAACACCACTATGTATGGCCGTTCAAGGTAATCAGGTTACACATTCGCAATTCCTGAAAATTATATAACAGCAGTTCGCAGGTCAAACAACAGTTGGGTAAAATGGCAGTGAGGTATTTGTTATACTACAGTCAGCTGGAGTGACACATGAACAAGGGCACACACACTTCCTTGACAGTTCTGTAGTCATTCACAGGATTCTCGGCTGCTGCATCAACAACAAGGACCAATAGCCGAGTCCGCCTCAGATGCCTCAGGAAATTGCGACCAAGATCCTAAAGGAGGACAGAGTTTGAATTACGAGAGTTGGAGCTTTACAATAAGTGATAAACATGATAACAAGCATTACCTTACCAAGATGAGCGCCCTCAATAAGACCAGGCAAATCTGCCAAAGTTGCTTCAGAATAATACATCCCTGGCCCTAAACTTGGGTCGCCATCAAGGCGTCCAAGGTCTGGCATTAAGGTTGTGAAATGATAATCGGCAATATCAGGTCTTGCAAGTGTAGCGGCGGCCAAAAGGGTTGATTTTCCAGCATTTGGAAGGCCTTGCAACAAAGGCAGATAAATATTAGGAATCTAATGACCATACCTATACCTTCTATAAGTAGTCTTGCTCCATTTCTTTCTCGTTGAAATGAAACACCAAAATATAAGGTTTTTCTCTTTGATTCTATTCGAAATTAACTTGATCAAAATATTTCATTACTCTAGTAGACTGTAACTTGCAAAAGTCTCTAGTTAGATTTCCCTTCTCATCGAAATTTGCTAACCAGTGTAAGGAACAGATGAAGAATCACTACCATAACACCAATAGTTAGGAATCAGCTCAACTGTGTCAAGTTTATTACAATACAGCAAATCAAAACTGGAAACCAAATCCGATAAAGTACAGTCTGGTCTGACAGATTTTGTGATCAACATGGTGCAATATTGTTTCTTTTTCGGAAAGCTAGTACCAAGAATATCGTTACCACCAGTTCCATTAAAACCATGGGGATATGATAATTGAACTTCTAAGACAGAACTTCAAACAGAGAAATATACTATAAAAAATATAGAGCACGGGAAAGCAATACTTACAACCAAACCAACATCAGCAACAACTCGTAGGATGAATACTCCCGGTTGACCAACTGCTAAAACCTGCAACAACTCGTAGAAACACGTTAGCACAACTATACCTTATCACTATCATCTCTCATCAAATTTGTGGTCACAGCCATCACCTTTTTCTTACTACGCTCTGGTGTTTCTACCAAGCTAATCTGCCACAAAAGTGGGAAAAATTAAATGTAAACTGCAGATTAGCATTGACATGCAAGTTAGCTAATCTGCATAACAGCCTTGACAAGTTATATGATACGAAGATTGAGGCTAACTTCCCAATTGCCAAAATTTCTCAGTCTATCATAAGCATGGTGTCTCGCCCCTCCTTGTCCACCCCTCGCCACAAGAATTTCGTCCCCTGGCTGTGCTAGATCAGCCAACAATGTTCCTCATTTACGCTTCACTACAGTACCTATAGCGCAAATACACAAATTAAATTGACCATCCTACCACATTATCATCACCGATTATACCTTGAAGAAAAAACTCCCAATTCATTACATCCACAGCACAAAATCATAACAAAAGAACACAAAACAATAAACAAACCGGGAGGCATGGGAATACGCAGAGCCTGAGCAGAAACTCCATCGTGCAACTGGGATGTCAAGACCCCCATTGCAGCCACATTGCCACCGCGTTTCGCCTTGAACCTGCTTTTCGTATGAAATTCCAACAAGGAATCCTTACCCACGTCCGCATAAATCACAACATCACCGAGAACAAGGCCCCCACCAAAATCCCTTTTCAGCTAGCTCTTCCTCCTCAGCTTCTCCTTCTCATGTTTCCCCTGCGACGGCTTACTGGGAGGTCTCTTGTTCGGCATGGCGAGGACCGCGCTGTGGCCTCCGTCTCCGGAACGAACGGTGATGATCAACTGATCAAAAGTACTTGTGGGGTTCCTTGATTAAAGTATTGGGTTTTTGAGTAGAAGATAACCCCTTGGCTCTGGTGCTAATTCGGCAGCTAATTCCGAAGAATCTGACACTTTTCGAATTGTTCGAGTCCTGCTCGCACCTATATGTAAAACGCCATGGAAACTACTCGCGTGAGCAAATGAAGGTATACATTACTGTCTGCTTAGTTGCTGCATTTAATCGTTGAGAATTGGAGGAGAATATTTTACAGATTTATTGGGAAACCTCAACGTTCAGAGGTTACCTTTGGGGGAAAGCGGTGCCGTATAAGGAGGATTTGTGACGGAAGAGATAGGAAGTTGACGGTGGCGGGGAGATGAGAGACGCCATACCCGAATAGAGAAGCAGCGCGAGTGAGCGAGCAAGGGAGCGAGGGAGACGAACAGTCCAACGGACAAAGACGAAGTTTCCTTTGCCGTATTTCAAAAAGCCGTAATAAATAGCGCGACTAATCTTCTGCATGTTTTTACTCTTAAGCCCATGTCTTATTTGGAATTCTACTTCTCCTACTTCCAATTTTATTACAAGTTTCTCAATTTTCGACATGTGTTATTTGTTATTTAATATTATAGTCTGATGTAATTTTTCTTCGTTAGTAATAAAGAGGTCCGAAGTTAGAATCTCCTATCATTTTCGACACGTGTTAATTTATCATTTAATATTACTGTCTCGTTACATTTTTCTTCATTTGTAATTAAGAGATCTTAAAATCCCCAGCATGTGGCTTGTGGGTTTAGGGTTCAGTCATTGGGAAATCGCAACGTGTAGATAAACTTTGGATCAGTTTCAATAGATAGATTACACAATTTTGCAAGTCTTAAAACAAGCACCATAACATATGCAAGCCTTGCGTTAAAGCCTAAAGAAAAACCATTGGCACATACCCCATCCGAGTTTTCTATACGACCCACCAAGTTCACCTCCTTCGATTACTACTTCTAAACATGAAATAATGTATGACACACCAAATCCACATGTGGGAATGTTGTCGGAAGGAAACTAGCCAAACTGTAGTATACGAGAGCTCAACGATCGCCAATCATCCCCATCTGGTGCTGCTCCAAAAGTTTCATACATTTAGCTTCTAATAAAATCCTTCAAAGAAAATGCAGGATTCCCATTCTGCAAAAACCACGTAATACTAAGTAACGCAATTTTGCAATGCACCATGCATTTCACTTATCCTATCACCTAATTACTTGTTCATACTTAGTATGAGCATATCGCTTTAACATGGATAGTTTAGGCCTCTGCAATCCCAATAATAGTATGGTACTTGGATATAGACCAAATAACCAAAGTCAGATGGTGAAAGTCGGGCTTAAATTTTCTCAACTGCACCCCGAGAACTGATGCAAAAATAAAAATCAAGTAACTGCATGTTACCTTGACATTATCTTCACTCATATATTGTCTTACTACTGTTGTCTGTTGTATTAGCCTTTCCAATGCAGAGTAATCGGGCAGGTTTGAATGCCCTGAACCATGAAACACAATAAAAACCAGTACATTAGTGATCGTTTCAAATATAATCAAAGAAAATAAGGATATGATATTGGCACAGTATGGATATCTCTGCAAAAGATCAAAACAAATATGATACACAGAAGTAAGGAATGTGGGAAACAAACCAAGAATTGCTTGATTCAAACTATCTGCAACTTGCTGCCGATAGTCCAAGCTAAGCAAATGAAACATAGGAGACTTCTCCGGTTCATTGTAAGCAAGCAGAGCCATGAAATCCTGCAGCAATATCGAACTTGAGCTCCATACGGACATGAATAAACATACAAAATACATACACATATACTTATAAAAGGAAACTTAAGAGTTTGAAGCATACTTCAAGCTTTGTAACGTATTTGTCCACCTTCCCAAAGGGGCCCAACTTGTTCTGGGCGAATTCCAAAGCTTCTGTGCTGCCAAAGAAATAAAGAATTAAAATAGCACAACGTGCACCACAAACAAGGTGTCATTGTAATTTTGCTCACCATTTTTTAGCGCAAACAAGTTCAACAAAGTGCAGGCTCAGAAGGTCAAAATGCAAGTCTTTGTTTTTCTCCAGCAACTCAGGTGCCAGCTCTTCCGTCAGTTCAATCGCCTTCTGAGCATTCCCCTCCACTGCACATTGAAAAATCCCTGAAGACAACAAAACATACCATTAGCACCGACATCGATCAACCAATCCAAGATATCCCCAATAACAGTTTTTTAGGGTCCGTTTGGAACTGCCACTACTGCTCATAAATAACCTTTTTTTTTTTTTTTCGTTTTGGAAACTGCTCATAAATACTTTAGCTATACTTTTCTATATTATAAACAAGCTTCTCTAGAAAACGCTTTTGTGACCCAAACTCACTTTTAAGTTTTTCTAACCACCGTAATCAAAAGCGCTTTTAGTTGGTAGTACATGCTTTTAGAATCCCAACGGTTCCAAAACCATTCGGGACAATGTGTTCAATCATTACATGACAGTAAACTCGACGTCGTTGCAAACCTACTTTTTCTTTTCTCCATATCCTCAATGCAGTCGGCAGGCTGCTTCGTCCCCGTCGAAGCAACAAACGACTCCACAGTTTCTTTGTAGCAGTTATGCACAAGGTATGACAGAACAATACTGTTGATATCATTGTCATTGATAGCCTATCAATAAAACACCAAATGAAAATCCCCATTAAAAAAGATCAAACAAAGGATCAATATATATAAAATTCGAGCCCAACGTCCCCAATTGGGCAAATGCAGCAAGCCCTAAATACAAAATTTACGAGTCAATGTCTAAAATCGATGAAATTTAACACTAATTGGGTAAGTATTGTGTAATCCTTGGGTTTTGAATCGAAATAAGATTGTGGAAATTGCAATAATTTGGGAAATTAAGAACAGAAAACTGGAAACTTACAACTTGATTGAAGTGACGAGGATCGACGTCCATGATTCGCCGCGTTCTGAAATCCTGCGGTGCGGAATGAGGCTGAGGAGCGGAGGCGGGCGCGGCTGAGGAACGGAGAAAGAAAAGGGAGTTCCGTCTCGGTCCGACACGACGAACGATTTTACGTATCGGCTGGCGAATCCGAGTTAGTTCGAGTCACTAGAGAGAGTGATCCGATTTCTATCTTTAATTCTCGACTTTAAACCGCTATTCACTGTGTCTATAGGTTCTTGTACACGTGCCCTTACTAGGTTCTATAAATCGTGGGTCGACCCGCAAATAATATGATGTCACGCTGTCATTTTTTTTTTCTTTTTATAAATTAAAAAATTTGTGATAAATTACGGTTATTCATTCTTTTCGGAGCCTGAGAAAACTCACATCTGGTCACAAGTTTGGCTTTATGTCACGTTGTCATTGCCTTTTACTAATGTTTGATAGACCAAATTTTAAGATTACATTTGTAAATCATGTGATGTTTCATTAATAAAAAAAACTAGAAGATGAGCACACACTTTGTGTGTGAACAATTTCAATTTCTTTTATTTATTTATTTATTAAGGAGTGTGATTAGTTTTTTAATTTTTTTAAAAAGAGTATGAGACAATGATGATGGTATCTCTTAATTAGGGCATATTTTTCTTAATATTACATAATTACCATTTTGCCCTTTTTATGTAAATATTGTGTATAAAAATGAGGGTAAAATAGAAAAATAGGGATATAATTGTCATTTTCTCAAAAGATACAAATTTACTATTTTGCCCTCCTTATATAAGTATTGTGTATAAAAAATGAGAGCAAAATTGGATGGCAAAAAGTTGACAATGACGGTTCTCTTTGTAGAATATAATAAATAAGCACGTTAATTGATATTTAAGTAATAACTTAATCTTTAATGACCATGTCATATTTACAAAATATAGTTTAAATTGAGGATCTCTCTAGCATTACTGGTAACTATGTGATCAAAGTGTCGATACTATGATTTATTTTGTTGGTATTAGATTTTTTTTAAATTTTTTTTTACAAAAGTGATATGTCAAGGCCTAAAATATAAAATTGAGTATTCTTAATCGACTGAACGATAAGTTTTCATGGAATAAATTATAATGTTAACATGTAGCATATAGGGAAGGAGAAAGTTTAATCGGTGAGGGCAAAGAGAAAAAAAATTCAGTGAGGGCAAAGAAATGCTCTTTACCAATTAAGTTGCACTGCCTAAATTTGAAATATTCAAAACAATTATTATTTCAATATTTTTCTACTAACTAAGGTGATGTATAACATAATAAAGTTCGTTGTATACAAAATGTGGGATAACAGTTGGTTATAGGGATAGACAAAATACTCACGGGTATGAGTATTCGTGGTTACCCGTTCATTTATAATTTACGATTACGGTTATGGGTAACCGTTTAGATAAATAAACGGTTATGGGTATAACCGTTTATCCGTGAAATTTAAATGGGCGGTTATGAGTATTATCCGCAGTTATAAACTGGTAGCTATTTAACCGTTTGTTTTAATATACGTAAAATTAAAAAAAAAGTTAAAATTGATAAAGAGATTCATTTTGCAAGTTCGTTATTATGGGTAGGGGTGGTTCGGTATGGGATCCCATACCGAAACCCTTGTCCCGATTCCCAAACCGAAATTTTTGGGAATCCCAAATTCAATACCAATCCCAAACCAAATTTTCGGGAATCCCAATTTTCGGGAATCCCGAAATAATTTCGGGATTTCGGGACAAATCGGGAATCCCGAAATGTTTTTGGGCTTTTGGACTAAAATTTGACATATTATGTTTTTGGGCTAAAATTTGACATATTATGTTTTTGGGCTAAAATTAAATTTCAATCTACCCACTACCCATTTGTGCACAAAGTTTCAATAATAACAAAGTTTCAATTTGCCCACTACACATGCATCATGCATGCAATAAAAATAAATTATGTACCAAACCCAAAACCAAAAATAATAGTTACAAGTCAAGGTTTTAAAATAAATAAAGTAACAAACTCAAAAGCAAAAATAATAGTTACAAGCCAAGGTTTTAAAATAAATAAAGTAACAAACCCAAAAGCTAAAAAGCAAAACTTAAAGTCTATAAATATTGTTGGCCTCTTCGGCCCCTTCGTCCCCTTGATCTTGTTGATGCTTGTGGTTGCTCCCTTCTTGTTGGTACTTGCACTCTTCCCCTTGATGTTGATGGTTGAGCCCTTCCTCTTGCAATGGGTGGTCGTGGAGGTAGTGATTGATTTTGACGTTGTTGAACTTCAACTTGGAGTGGTCGAGGAGGTGGAGGTGGCATTTCATTTTCTTGTGTTGTATTCTCCTCACCTCCCAAATTAGCCGTGCCTAAAACAATAAACCACAAATCATTTACATTGAATTATAGTCTAATAGATAATAAATACTAAGAAAATAAAGGAGGAAATTAAATTGTTTACTTACTTCTTTCTAAGCGTTCAAGCTCCTTGTAGAAATGGAATTCGTCAAGTGTAGGCTCCTTATAGAAACAAAATTCTTTTCCTCTAAGCCAATCACTAGTACACACTAAAGCCTCAACCGTTTTAGGTGTTAAGGAAGTTCTAAAAGGATCAACAACTCTCCCACCAAGACTAAAGGCATTCTCATTAGCAACGGTGCTACTAGGAAGGGCCAAAACATCCTTAGCAACTTTACTAAGAGTTGGATATTGAGCACAATTTCCTTTCCACCAATCCAAAAGATTGAAACCCTCATATGTTAGGCTTTGATGTGGATCATTGAAATACATATCCACTTCATTGGCTATCTCATTTTGTTGTGCCTCCGCTCTCTTTCGTTGGATCTTCTTTGTCATCCTTGAAGCAACATCAATATCTACAATCACACCCCCCACATCATCTAGTACAACACTTGATCTTTGCTCCACATTTGAGGTAGCACTACTACTAGTACTACTAGTACTACTACTACTAAGGACCATTCCCTCCTTGTATGCATTATACAACTCGGTTACATAGCCTTTAACCCTTACTTTCTCCTCCCTTATTTTGTCCCATCCATAGCCGAGCTCTTCTAAATTTGTCTCCAACATATCAAATTTGTACCTAGGGTCGAGTACTTGGGCTACAAAGAGAATAGGATTCACCTTTTCAATGTGACCCCAATATTTGTCAAACTTGAGCTTCATTGAGGTAGCCACACTTTGCAAAGTGGCATTAGAGGCGTTTAAAATTTGTTCTTGTATCTCCACTTGCAAGGCAATCACTGTGCTAAGTATTAAGTGTGACGTTGGAGTAAGGGTTGCACTCAATGTCAAGGTGGCATCATAAAACTTTTTAAGAAAGTGAGCAAAACTCATCGACCTTTCCCAATCATCCACCTCCGGAGGACCCACCCGCTTGGTCTTTCTTGTCACCCCATCAACCTCTTTCGAGACCTCCTCTTTAAAGTAAGCAATAAAAGAGTCACACTCAAAGGCCATCTTAGAGAACACTTCTTTAAACTTGAAAGCACTATTAAGCATCTCATATGTGGCATTCCACCTTGTGACAACATCAAAAGGGATACTTGACATCCTATCAAATCTCAACAAGACACAATATTCCCTAAAAGACTCCAACCTTGCCGGGGATGAGTGTATAAACTTCACACAATTTCTTATGGCATCAATTTCACAACTAAGCTCCGTCATTCCATCCTTAACTATCAAATTGAGGATGTGACAAGCGCACCTCATGTGCAAGTGAGCCCCGTCAAGTAAAAGAGTACCATTTGACTTGAGTCTTCTTTTCATGTATGCAATGGCGGTGTCATTTGCACTAGCATTGTCAACGGTAATGCTAAACACCTTGTCAATGCCCCAATCATTCAAGCAAACCTCTAGACATCTTCCAATATCATCACCCTTATGAGAAGTAACTTGGACAAAGTTTAGGATCCTCTTATGCAACCCCCAATTAGTGTCCAAAAAATGGGCCGTGATGACCATGTAGTTTATCATTTGAATTGAGGTCCAAGTGTCGGTTGTAATGCTCACTCTCAACCCCTCAATCACACTTTTTATTTTAGCCTTCTCTTCAACATACAACTCCAAAACCGCCGCCGCCACCTTATGCCTATTAGGAAGTTTGTATTTTGGATTCAAATCACGAATAAAATCTCGAAAGTCTTCTTGATCAACCACCCTAAAAGGCATCTCCGCTATTATAATCCACCTCACACATCTCCTATCAAGTCTTTTTTGATTGAAAGTGTGAGTGACAACCGGACCTCCCATCCTCGCTTGTGTCAATGTAGGTTGCTTCGGATCCACATTCTCAAAGAGACTAGAACCCGGGCATTTCCTCAAATGCTTAAGAATTCCCGTCGTCCCATGAATTATAGGGTGTGCCGGTACTAAGAGTTTGCAATGCTTGCATTCGGCCATGAAAGATTTCTCCCCATTATTATCGGTGATCGTTACCCTCTTAGCATCATTCCACGCCGGACTTGGACCCTTTCTCCTATTGCCCTTTTTCCGAGGAGGACTCTCCCATTGTCTCACTACTTCTTCTTCTTCTACTTCCTCTTCCCCCTCTTCCCCCTCTTCTTCTATTTGTTCTAATGCAATATCCTCCTCCATATCCGGATCATCATCCCAACAATCTTCATAATAATCATTATGCAAATAATCTTGAGGTGAGGGAGTGCCTAGTTGAAGGGTACCACTAGGTTGGGTTTGTTTTCGTTTTCCTAATACCGAGACCATAGGTGTACTAGATTGGCTACTAGACCCGTCCATCCTAAGTCCTAACAAATAAAATAACAATGCACATTAATATATCACAACCACAGTTCAGCATATATCCAAATTCCAATCAATAAATAAAATAAATGGTTCAAAAATCTGAGCATTCAACATAGAAAATTGACATAGTTAATCTAAAACTATACTTAATTAATTTCCCCACATTTCCTCAGTCATGTAATTTTCTCTAGATGAAAATATATAAATTTTACGTTCATTTACTTAAAAACATCAATTGCCGAAAGAATTCCCCTGTATATAAAAAGAAAAATGGAAAAAATAAAAAAAAGGACACATTTGTCGAAAATAATAGGAGGAAAATATATTGGTTCAGTTACACAGCATCAAAACACTTACTAAGACAATTGGAGGAGCTATCACCACAAGTAAATAATATTAAATGCAAGAAACAAGAAACAAAAA